TAATTATCGCGAATTTATGCCGTCTGCCATCTTGTACTGTATGAATTTGATTTTCACGAATCGTTAAAAAAAATCGCAAAATCCACGAAATTTATAGCCCTAAAAAAAAGGTGCCCTATGGTAAGTCTTATTGAGAAAGGGTATACCGTATGTATAATTGTGTACAATTAAAAAGAGAGACAGAAACAGAGAGACAAGTACATGTACATGCATAAGTAGGAAAGAATATGTACATGTACATGTATTTGTACTTACTAGTGCTTCCATTGCTTCTCTACAAACTCTTGGATCAATGTCATTACAAAACTTAGCAATTAAGAGCAACAGGACTTCATGACTGGGGGCCCTGTGGCTTAATCGACCAATCAGATTCAAGCACTCCATTCGGAGGGTGTGACTGGGAGAGTATACAACCTAACAATAATAATATAAAATTCTTTAAAAATATAAATTCACACACATACTGTACCTCAACAGTTTCTTTAAGACATTGAGTAACAAACTAAAGAAATAAAATACAAGAGATATGAACATGTTATAATAATACAAGTACATGTATGTGCAGAGAGATATCCTATAGTAATGAATACATTAATTTCATATGTACTTTAACTCTGATGAACATTTCTTGGCCACTTTCACCCAACACTTTAACACTAATGCCTTGACATCACTAGACACTAATTAATATTCATTACATTTATTTAATTAATCAATCACAAACTTACGATGATCATCAATGAGTGGTGCTGCTGATGCCATTTGGTTCTGTTAGTCATGTGAGACTGGTGTGACTAATGGAGGACAGCACACAGCAAGTTAACGAGGACGATACATATTTCGATATTACTCTGATGAGTTTCCATATTTGGTTAAAAAGAGCCAGGGCCTCATCTAATAGAGTCTTCAAAGAGTAACAGTGTTTCTAATAGGCTCTCCTCTTCTTTAAGAAAGCTTCTTCAAGTGCAGCACGTGCAGCTGCTCTGAATATAGCACTCTTGATCCGCCCTCCTCTCATATCAAAACCGGCCAGCTTATTAAAAGTCAATGCCCTCTTCCATTGGAGTTTCCTCAGGAATCAGTAACTAAAGTGTTGTTAAAATGACACAATAGTAAAAATAGTAATGCTAATTCTTGTCTTACTTTCCATAGGTAATTCGATTCAATTCGCGGCTGCAGCCTGCATGTAATAAAAATTCAATTAAACACCATGGAAACCGTTTTAAGCGTTGCTATGACAATAAGACCAAGTGTTTAGTGTTCACTGTTCCAATACTCAATTTTTATCGAGTTACATCCGATAAAATTAATGGCTGTGTCTACAGCTCCGGTAACCGGACGTAGTTTGCAATGCTAGAGCTCCGGCAGTCCGTTTTTCTCCGTAAAACAGCTTGTGCGCATGCGCAATAGTGCAAAATGGAACTTAGTCTTTTTATCAAGAAACACTAAACCCTAACCCCAAAACCCTACGATCCCGGAGGCTAAGATGTACGAGAGGGTGCTCTAAAAACTAAACACTAAACCCCAATCCCAACCCTACGACCCCGGAGGCTAAGATGTACGAGAGGGTGCTCTAAAAACTAAACACTAAACCCCAATCCCAACCCTACGACCCCGGAGGCTAAGATGTACGAGAGGGTGCTATTTCTTGACCCAAAAAAAAGCCAAAATTAAAAAATGCAAAAAAAGATATTAAAAAAAAAAGAAAAAAATCAAAAACTGCAGCATAGTTTTACTCGGTAGTCCTAACCGGATTCGAACCCCTGACCCTATCCGTGCAATCCACACCAGCCTCTCCACTGCACCACCACGACCCTGCTGCATCATCAACGCTGGTTGTTGTATTTATACTCGGTTTCTATAATATAAATCAGTGTATTATTAATACTGCACTGGGGCGTAGCCCCAGTATATATATAGGGGCGACGCCCCTATTACCGGAGCTCTAGCACTGCATACTGTGTCCGGTTACCGGAGCTCTAGACACTTCCAAAATTAATTGAGACTTGAGTACATTGATAATGAACTAGTACCTGAAGTGTTGCTGATATCAACTGATGACTGGAGGAGACTAGTGCAATCAGTTCAAACTAAGTCTAGTCTACATCAAACAAAAACATAATTTGTAAGTTAAAGATTAATTAAGTTACATATAATTAAACAATTCCCCCTGCCATTATTATTCATAATTTTATATTATTATTATTATTATAATAATAACAATAAATATAATTATAACAAAAAATAATAATAATAATAAACAATAAGTCAAACCAAAAATGAAGACAAAGAGCCTTAATGCATTATTATTATTATAACAATAATAATAAGAGGAGGGGAAGAAAGAGGGAGAGAAGAGAAGAAAGGACAGAAGGGAAAAGAAGAAAATAAATAAATAAGACACAACTAAAGGAACAAAATAAGCATAAAAATAACAATAATAACAACTAGACCATGAATATGTTATGTCTTATGTGCCATAAAGGGGTTCGAAGGTGGATGGTAGTGTATCTTGAACCATAAGAGCATTTCCTCTCTGAACTGCCACCGATAGTCGTTGGAGGAGAAATGAGTGTGCCCTCTTGTCATGTGAGCTATTACATAACCGGCGTCCAATCTCCTTAATAATCTTGTGAGTTAGAGGACCTAGTGCACCCAGGGACTCAATGGCAATAGGGGAGAACAAATAGGAAGAGGAGAGGGTGGAGTATTTATCAGCCTTACGAGACTCAGCACTAGCAGCCACTGAACCAGTCCCATTGAGAGCTACTGATCTATAGGACACTGCAAGAGTGTCAGGAATGGTTACATCCCATTATTATTATTGTAGCCT